CCTCCTAAGCCTGGCATGGCGACACAGAAAGGAAGGGTCACATGCCCTGCAGGCATTGGAAGTCAGGTAGTTGGAGAGGATGACAGTTTCTGCTGGGGACTGAATAGCCCCGTCCCCCTCTGGGAGGATACTGGCAGCAAAGGGAAGGAGTGAAGGCATCTTCCGTGACACGGGGGACTCTGTGGGATGGGGCCCTGTCCCTGCACAGCTCCGTGGGACTGGACGTGGCTCCCTGGCTGAGGAAAGATGTCAGGAGGGAAGATAACGGGAGGGTCTACTGAGGGTTGGGGTTAGGGAGGTGACATGGACTGCTTACATCAGACTTTATTTTTGGGCTGATTGTTCTTTCAAGGCATAGGCGGCACCCTTGACTCATAGTCCATGATGTGACCAGGGGTCAAGCCTCATGCAGGTGCACCCCACAGTACAGCCCAGCACGGAGGACCAGGGGTTTGCACCCTCACAACTCTCTGGGTCTCTGGAGAGCACCCCTCTGAGTCAATCTCCTGAACCGCTACTCAGTGAGCTGTCAAGTGAATCCAGCCTCTTATTTCATTTCAGTTTGTTTTCCTGGTCTGTGTGTCTGTGTGTGTGTGTGAATGTGTGTGTGTGTCTGTATTTAGAGGGTAGGATTTATGCAAATTAAAAAGAAAAGTATGCTGTCTTCAGATTGCATATGAAACTGCAGGGTGGCATTTGAGTGGCGCACCATGGAAGGTCACTCAGTTGCCTGATACTACAAGATTCAGGGACGTGGTCCTCCAGGACGACCCTCCCTGGCCATCTTCACGGCTTCAGCACTGACATGCTCCACACCAATGTCCACTTCAATTTTTTTGAGAATCTGAGCTCACTTGCTGTTTTCACACCCAACACGGATCTGCTCAACAGCACAAGGTCCCCACAGGCTCCCTGTCCTTAGATATTAACTTGAGGGAAGAAACCAAGATGCCTATGGATGTGCCTCGCAGCTACAAGGGACCTTCTCCCAGGAATCTGTGTCCCCTTCTGCAAGTCCTTCCTCTGTAGAGGCCAAACTCACAGGAACCTCAGAACACTGAGGACTCAGAGCTGGGTCTGATGAAGCCCTGGGGATTCCTGGTAATTTTCCCTGCACACAATAGGGTCGCAGCATAAATGAACAGAAAATGAGAGACTGGGGTCCACTCCTGGGCTGCACAGAGAAGACCCAGGTGTAGCCACACCTGGGTTGAAGGCACAGTGGTTTGAAACCTTCTCTGAGCCTGGGGTTTCCACATCAGGCGTCGGCACCCGATTACTCAGGAAAACTAAGTCATTGCAGTGTCTACGTAGGAGTTGGAGGGAGAAGGGTAAAAAAAGGAGTCCCCTTACGCCAGGATATCCTGGGAAGAAGGAGTATGGGAGAAGTCAAGGCAGTCAGACCTCAGGTGGCAAGAAAGGGAATAGAAAAGGAATGGGGCTGGGACCCACAGGTAAAAACCCCCCAGAGTTGCCTGGAAGGGGAGCACGAGGAATGACCCAAGCAGTGTCACCGAGTTTACTGTTTACCTCTTGCAGACGCCCATGGCCCAGGCCACTGTGGTGAGTACACTGGCCTTCTCCCTCCTGCTCTTGGGCCCTCCCATTGCGGGAGCGTGGGTCACGCACCACAGTCTTCTCAGGGACTTCGACCTCTTTCAACCAGAATTCTCAATAGCCATGCGCCAGACACATTTTCCCAGGTCCTCACGTCTACTGCTGACCCGTTGATTATGCTGAGGGTAATGTGGACCCTTTTGCTGGGGGTGGACAGGCAGCTTCCTCCCTGCAGAGTCAGGCTGCGACCTGATGTCCCAAGGGAGGAAGTCAGAGGGCAGGGACACTGCTACACCTGGACCCTTGAGGTCAGAAACGGGAAATCCTTTTGCGAACCATGGATTCTTGGCACATTCATGCCTCCCCTTTAGTTGTCATGGGACCCCTCCACAAGGCTATTGACAATGACAGCGCTCAGCACTCCTCGGAGAGAGGATCTTGTCAGGTCCAGTGCCACACTCCTCGAGCTCCTGCCGCCCGGAGGACAGGTGTTGGCTTCCTGGTTCCTGCAGTCTCTGCGCTGTGGCTCCGCTTGTATCAGTCCAGAGGGGGCCAAGCTCAGCCTCCGGGTGACCATCTGTTTCCACCCCTTTTCCCCTTGTCCATCAGGGGCCCTGAAGTAGGAGGTGCGTTGTAGGGAGGAGGAAAGCAAAAGGCTGGCAAACGATGGGCTGGTCTTCATGTTAAAACCTGTGTCCTGCCTGCAGCCTTTCAGCCCCTCCTAGGCTGCGTGGGTCTCAGAAAAGGAAGGGCCACATGCCCTGGCAGGCATTGCGGTTTTCAGGGTGGTGGGAGCAAGGACCAGTTTCTGCTGCGATTCACATAGCCTTGTGCTCCTCACAGGGAGGACCAGGTAGCAAAGGGATTCGAGGTGAAGTCAGCTTTGCTGGCACCTGGGGACTTGCCGGATGGCATCAGTCCCTGCAATAGCTCCGATGGAGTGGGGCTGGCCGTCTTTGCTGAGAACGATGGCAGGACGAAATGGAAAAAGGGAGGTTGTGCTGTTGAGCGTGGGGTTGCGGATGTGCACTGCTTTACCTCAGACTTTTTCATGGCATGATTGTTTCTTCTCATGGCAGCGCGTGACAGCTTTGAAGTCTAGTCCATGGAGTGGCCCAGGAGGTGAGGCTGCGTGCAGGTACCCCAATTTCGCCCAGCACTCGAGGGCCAGGATTTGCACCCCACACCTCGTCCGATGCTTGGGAACATTTCTAGCAAGAGTCCACCCTTCAACAACTTCCCCGTGATCCTATTCCAGTGAATCCCAACGATTACTTCATTCTCAGTTTGTGAGGAATTGCGTGTTTTTACATCAGAAGGAAGTATGACCAAACAACTCAAAATGGTCTGGTGGCTTCAGAGGTTGGCATGTGAAAACTGTGCTTTGTTTTCTTTTCTTTTTTTTTTTTGTGAGGGACAGGAGTCTCCACTTGTTGCCCTGGCTAGGGAGTGGAGTGCCATGGTGTCAGACCTAGCTGCACAGCAACCTCAAACCCCTGGGCTCAAGCAATCCTCTGCCTCAGCCTCCGGGGAGTAGCTGGGCTACAGCATGTGCCCCATGGCCGGCTGATTTTTCTATATGTATTACGTTGGTCAATTGAATTTCTCCTATTTAAATTAGGACGGGGTCTCGCTTCTTGTCAGACTGGTTTTTGATCTCCTGACCTCAGGATCCCAGAGTGCTAGGATTACAGGCGTGAGCCACCGCGCCCGGCCATGTTTTCTAAGTGGGCAGCATGGAAGACACTCAGTGGCGCTGACTACAGCTTTCAGGGCCTTGGGTCCTCCAGGATGACCCTCCTCGGCCATCTTCACGCTTCAGCACTGACGTGTCCACACCATGGCGCCACTTCACGTTTTCCGATAATCTGAGCTCACTGCTACATTTTCACACCAACACGGATCTGCTCAACAGCACAAGTCCCCTGAGGCTCCAGTGTCCTCAGCTGTTACACTTGAGGAAGAAACCTAGATTGCAGGGGTCCTCCTGGCTATAAAAGGTCCTTGTCTCGGGAATCTGTGTCCCCTTCTGCAAGTGCTTTCTTTGTTGAGACCACACTCACAGCGGACCCCGAACACTGAGGGACTCAAGAGCCGGGAGGTCCGTGGAAGCCCAGGATCCTGGGGCATTTCCTTCAGCACACAACAGGCGCTCAGCACAAATGAGCAGTAAATGAGAGATGGGGGTCCACAGGTGACTGTCAGTCCATTTCACTGGAGAGGTGGTTGTGGGGAGTGTGGGGTTGGGGGCCTGAGGGACAGACGAGTGGGAAGTGCATGACCTGTAATGAGTCAGTCCCTGTGGGACACAGAACCTGGTGAGGGCAGGAAGGCTCAGCTGCCCCAGGGAGGGTCTGGGCCTGCCAGTGCTTATTGCATCCCTTGTTGCCTGTCCTTCTGTCTATTCCTGTTGAACCAGGCACTTGTAAAGCCGACAAAATGGGAAGTGCTTGCTCCCTGGCCTGTTTGGTAGAAGAGCAGGAGAAACGCGGGGATAATCCACCAGCCCCCTTCGACCCCTCCTCAGGTGTTACCTCTCACCCCCCTACCTCCATGAAGTCGCCTGCCTCTTGTGCCACTAGGTTCCCACCTCCCAATCCTAAGGCCACCATTTATGCGAATGTGCATGGGTGAACCAGCAATGTTTATTCTAAAACAAGAAAATCCACACACACCGTGGGTTCAAGGCAAATGAACAACTGGTTTCTGTGTCTTCCATCAGGATACCAAGGGAAGACCCCACCTTCCAGTGAATACCTGCAAAGCCAGCCCCTGGGGGGGGACATGGGTCTGGGTTGAGGGTTTCTTCCACCCTCGGTCCATGTCTCAGGTCATCAGAGCAGGGGTGCCCCTGCTTCCCAGGACTTTCCATCCCGGGGGAGGGCAACACACTGGCCAGGTGAGTGCACACCTCAGGGCTAGCACCAATGCAGAGCAGGTGTGGACTGAGTCTGCTTCCACCAGCTCAACCCTGGACAATTCCGTGGAATCCTCCGGACTTAAGAAATTCAGGGCTTGAGTGGCTACTCACCCCAACAGGACACCAATAAGTGCAGTTGGGTTTTCATTTCTTAGCGGAAACCTTGGTTCTTTGCTCCTGATATCACAAGGGTATTCGGTAATAGCCCACAGAACCCTTTGGAGAGGAAGAAGAAGAGGTGGACAGTGTTACTGATGGCGGAGAAGAGCTCCCTCCCCCAGCCTACAACCCTCCTGCTGATGTACCTCTACCTCCCACAGCAGTCAATGTCCTGCAACCATGCATCAGAGTCTTGGCTCACGGCCTGTTTGGGTGACTTGAGGGCCCTGTGGATGATGGCGTCCACAGGAAGGTGGCCACCGTTACGCTCATGGGAGGTAGAGAGATTCGCATCCCAGCAGCTGAGTAGCGGTACGGGGTGCAGGCTTCAGCGCATGCCATGGCTCCTGCAAGTCCAATCACCAAAGACAGATCCTGTGTTAATCTTCCTTCGATTGGTTCTATTGATTTCATGTCTGGACACAATGAGAAAACACCCATGAATATCTCCACCTGCAATTGATTTTGCTTTCGGTTTAACTTCAGAATGTAAAGTTTGTAAAATCTCATGGCACCCAGCATTGGCCGATATTATCCATGCAAAATCCAGAAGACGGTCCCATGCTAACCCCATGCGGAATTGTTCCACACTAACACACCTCTGCCTGTTTTCCTGGGAAATCTGGACTGCACAATGGCAGGTGTCCGCCAATACTAGAAATCTGAGCACCTGGAGCCAGCTGTCTCTAATGTCTCACATGAAATGCCAGCTGGCACGGATGCCTCTTCTCTCTCTTGCTTTCCTTCACTCTTCAAATACTGAGGGGTTCAAGTACATACCGGCCCCAATTTCCATAAGCCTGGACACTTGCTTCATGTGAGCGATTGTCTACAGAGCACCCATCATGGAAATGGGGCTACAGGTCCCCACTTTCTGCAAGAGGCTGAACTTCTCTGAAGCCCTGTCAGGAGGATAGACCTCTGAGGGACCCATTAGTGATGGAGGTGGGATTTCTGACGAGAGTTTCCTTCTCTCCACACTGCCCACAGCTCACTCACAGGATGCTGGAAACTTCTCGCCATAGATCTGCTTGATCTCTGGTCTGGCCCTCTCCCACGCATCCTTGGAGGTTTTGGAGAGCATATTAGAACTGCTCACAACAGTCTTGAAGACACCAGGTTCAATTAAAACAACCTTCAGTCCAAAGTAGGATAGCTCCCTCCTGCAAG